AGTCAGTGAAGCCTATAAAAATATAAGAGGATGTTTTCAAAAGTCGAGAACGTGTTACTTCAATAAATTCGCCATGTAAATTAACGGTTTTGTAAAGAAAAATAGAGAAATAATACTTGGTAAATAGGTTTTCAATAAAGTATCTGTTSATGGAGAGTAGCTTCAAAGTGATGGCAGATTTTGCGATTTTTACTCCATCAAGACGCGTGTTTTCCTCCCAGGACAGCACGACATTGAAAATCTTCAAGTTATCTGGCAATTGCCGATCACATGTGGAACCTCCCAAACAGAAGTATGAAACTCTTTTCACCAAATTACCACAACATTTCTTGAGTACGATAGTACGATTGATTTTTAAAATATCACCACAAATTTGTCTTGTAACATATTAGGYAAAAAACTACGGAAATATGACACCGCTATGTTTATTACCAGTCGTTATAAAATCAATCTCTATATTTTTTCTAAAGTATCTTGATTTATTTGTTTAAAGGGACCAAAATAGCAATATTAATCTATGTAGAAATCATTTCTCAAAAACAAATTAATTTTGGCTGTTACACATTTTAATGTTCCTTCCATAAATCAACAATAAGACTGATTTGACATAGCAATTTATTAATAACTCTGAAAATAGCTTCCACCTATTAAAGATGGCTTAAAATATAGGATATTTTAAAAATTGATTAATGCAAATAAGAATTATTTTAAAAGGCTACAACATTTTATTTGTTGTAACTTTGATAAACTATTAAAAGATTTATTGTTACAAAATTAAAAGAGCAAAACCTTTAAATAATCCTTAACGTAAATATAATGTAATATGTAGACAATGTGTAATATAATGTAATAAAAACTTTCATCTCCCAATAAAGACTTAGACTTCAACAGTATGTTAAAATTTTGGAGTGTTTTGTACTAAATGTAACTTTAATAATAAAATTTTATTTGATTAACTTAGCAGTGTTTATTTATGATCTATATTATAAAAGGCATTTACCAAATAGATACTCGTAGTTACAGTTATAAAGAAAAATAATAAATTTTTGGAGTTGCGAAAAAGTGATTGATCAAATATTTATAATTATTTCCGTTTAGAAGGAAAAGTATCGGTCATTTGGGCTTAGACTTAGATTTATATATGCATGTTTTTTTTTTATAAAATTATCATATCGATAATTATGCAATACGAATTTGAAAGGAATACATGGTAAAAAAATCYATTTTTGAGTTGCTAGGAAGCGATGGAGGATTATTTTATCTAATGTGCGCACAGTGTGTATATCTATTTAGAAGAATAAGTATCTATCGTTTTCGCCTCTTTGCGACGTTGCCAGAGTGCAGAGGCGAACACGCACTATGAATGCAAGGAGGCGATTACGACCTGTATACAAAATCTGTATAACTCCGCAGCGCCATCTAGTTAAATAACGCCGAACATTGGTGTATGTTAGTATGTGTATATAGGTCGTTTTGGCCTCCAGACAAAAATTTGCCAGAAGACTCAGGGTACTCTAATTCGTGGAAATTCGATGAGAACAAGGCAAGACGCTTCCGACTCCGATTTCGGAGGCGAACACGTAAAATCGGAGTCAGACACGTTCGGTTGACATAGCGATCGGAGGTGTATGCGTACCATTTGCATATGTATATATATATATTTTATATATATATATATATTTTCTTATATATATATATATATTTCTTATATATATATATATATATTTTCTTTTTGTTTGCACGATATAATAAAATACTGGAACAATCTTGCAATTTATTGGATGGCGTTCTTTTTTAGTAGTTATTACACAACCAAAATTGTCAACATGATTGGTTTTTCTGTCTGAATAAATTCACAAAATCATAGCCATTTTCCTTGTTGTGTTAGGGTCCGATCCTTGCTTTCGAAAACTGAATTTTTTTCCCAGCTGTCTTCACTTTTTGTGTAATAAATTTTTAAAAAGAGGATGTTGTTGCCATAAAAAACAACTTAATTCAAAAACTAATCAAAATCGACTAATAGAACTTTAGCTTAAAAACATTGAAATTAAAAGCTACATTCAAAAATGCCAAGAAACATGATGTTTCATTAAAAAAAACATATGTTTGTATTGCAACATCCTGTATAATCAAAAATATTTTCTTGAAATGCGCTCTAGAATTTAAATAAAATAAAGTCTACATAATATCTAAATTCCCTCTTTAATAATAACTGAGCTACAGAAAACCGGAGCTGAGATGAATCACCCTGTATATCTACCCTGTATATCTTCATTTCTCCGCTTTTAACAAAATCTAAATTGAACGCAAAACCATTGAATCTGAGTGTAATCTTTCAACTGCAAACGCAGAATTTTTCCGATTGCTGTGACTATCCAGAGTGCGCCAGAACTCGCATCACAGAAAAAAATGCCATATAAGGTAATAAGATACTAGGAACATGGAAAAATGTTAAAAAAAATTACTTATCTATAAAAATTTCGAAGTTATGAGGGTTTAAATTTTGCACTTTGACTCTATTTATTTCTATTGGAAAAATAATTTTCCAAGTTTTTTTGCTATAGGCTATTAAAAGAGGAAACAAGGAAGCTGTATCCTGTTCAATATTATATGTGGCTTTTATTGGATGTCAAAAGTTTTTAACAGATGGATAATATTTTTTTCATGTTCTCGGTATCCTACCTTACTTGAAAATTTTCTCTGGGACGCGAGTTCTGGCGCATCCTGTTCAGCAAAACTTTTTCAGTTTTCTTCATTTCTTCAACCTTATGGTTTGATTTGGTTCAATGAATTCCAAAACATGTTCAATAATAAACATTGATAACTCATTTAATAATATTATTTAAAACTTTCCCGTCGCTTCTTATCACTAACTTGTCTGTACATAGAAAAATAGTCCAACCAATGACAATTAATCGTTTGTCTTATTCTATTAGAAGTGATAAGAAGAGGTCGCTTTTATAAGAAACTTTACTAGAAAGTTTCATTCAGTCTGTTGCAATCATGAGTGAGTTAATACAAGTTGGTCCTTCTAACACTTGTAATGACTTTCCATTGAAATCATTAGGTCAAATTTTTTACAAAAAAATTAAAGAATGGGATTGTGATCGAGTTCTTTTGGTATAGGAATTCTAAATTTTACATAAAAAACAATATAATTTATTGTAGATTGATTCTGAAGAAGAAATAACTTATGGAAAATTTCAAAAACTAACTGTTCAATTAGCAAAACAGTTTCAACGTCTGGGTATTAGAAAAGGTGATGTAATTACGATAATTTCCCCAAATCACTGGAGATTCATTGCAACAATTGTTGCCGGATTTTATATTGGAGCCACAATTAATCTTCTTAACCACGACTACACTTCTGGCAAGCTACTAAGTGTTTTAAATTTAATTTTAATACTTTTTTTTCAGGAGAACTAAAACACTTCTTACTAATTTGTAACCCAGTTTTGATACTTTGTACTAACAAGTCATTAATCAATCTCAAAAAAGTTGAAAATGAAGTTGAACTTCCACATATTTTGCTATACGACTCTGACTTTGATTCTTCACTAAAGTGTAATTACAGTGAGGAATTTAAACCTATTGATGAGTTAGATCCGATGACAGAAGTTGCTCTAATTTTAACATCATCAGGTACAACAGGATTTCCAAAATGTGTTCAATTAACCCACTCAAACATAAGAACAACAATGTTATATGCCACAGACCCCACTTTTTTGGATCTTAACAGACACGAATCTTGTATAGCATTTCTTCCATTTTACCACGTGTTTGGTTGTGCTATTTCACTAGCTTCAATTTTAAGCGGTTGCAAAACAGTAATTATGGAAAAATTTATTCCTGATTTATTTTTAACCTTAATCCAAAACCACAAAATCACAAAATTGTTTGTGGTTCCTCCAATTTTACAATTTTTGGTCAAAAACCCCTTAGTGGAAAAATTCGATCTTTCCTCCGTCACTGATATTTTGTGTGGAGCTGCTGCTGTACGTAAAGAACTGGAAGAAATGGTCCAAAAAAAGTTTCAGGTCAAGTCAGTCAGGCAAGTGTATGGAATGACCGAAGTTTGTGGTGGTGCAACCATGATTCCTAAAAARTMTCAAAAATATGGYTCTTCAGGGAAAGTSATSTCTTARACACAAYTCAAAGTTTGTGATGTMACAAGTGAAGAAACTCTTRCASCGWATCAAATTGGAGAAATACGAATCAAAGGTYATGGAATAATGAAAGGTTACTTYAAAAATAAAGAYGAAACYGAAAAAYCYTTRYATGAAGAMGGATTTTTGAAATCTGGTGATTTAGGTTACTACGATGAAGAAGGTTACTTTTATATTGTTGGCCGTTTGAAGGAAATTATTAAGTATAAYGGATTTCAGGTYTGTTCYTTTTRTATYTTGCTTAATTTWAAAATCAAATTTCAGGTATCACCAGCTGAGTTGGAAAATTTGTTAATACAACATCCTGCTGTTAATGATGCAGCTGTTGTTGGATTACCGGATGAAAGAGCCGGAGAGTTACCTTTGGCATTTGTTGTTAAACAAGATAAAAATATCACGGAAAAAGAACTGATTCAATACATTTCAGGTAAGAACGGGTGACAAAGTTATAAGTATTGATTAGTTGTATTTTGTATTTTTTTAGAAAATATTTCTAAACAAAAGCATTTGCATGGAGGAGTTAGATTTATTGACAGTATCCCTAAAAATTCCAGCGGTAAAATTCTAAGAATAAAACTAAAAGAAATGTTATAACACTTAAAAAAAATGTCTGGTTATATGTATTTTCATGTTTGAAGTTTTCAGGTGTAACTAAATTTTAAAGCTTTAGCTAGAATAATGAGTTCAGATCAACTCTTTCTTCCTTAACTATTTCACGAAAATACAAAAATTCATTCATAAGTACATACCTAATTGTCAAATCTGTCAAGTTTTTGGTTGTGAGAAGGTTCTAATGTCACAATTTTTGATTTTAGAAGCAATTATATTATACATCTCTTATTTTTTATTGCAGATGATTTAAAAAAAAATGATGATAAAAAGTTAATTGGCAAATTAAAAATTTCTAATAAATATTAAAATAGGTAAAATAAGTTGCCAATATCTTTAAAAGTTCAGTCAAAAATATTGTTACTTACCGAGTTGTAGAAAAATTCCAAATCTTTATATTGTTAATTTAAAAGAAAGTTCGATTTTTCCAGTAGATTTGAAATAACAACTAAACGATATAACTAAAAAATATATTTTTTAATACACATAATATGCTTTTAAACCCATTGCCAATTCAACAACAAATTTTTTCTTCTGTTTACGTTGTCCTTTATAGTAAAAAGCAGTAGGTCCTTAGTTCTCCTAAAATAAATGAAAAATATACAACAAAATCATTACTCTTGTTAACACAAACCTTAAAAAAATATTTTGTAACAGACACAATACAAAATAATGCGGGCACATTTTTTAGGATTTGATTTGTAGTTCATTTAACAGGTAAACGTAAAATTAGGTAAATTACGTGTTGTTAACCTAGTACATTGCCTTCAAGGCTTTCATTTGCTTTGCGCTTTTTAACGAGTCTGTCGACCGCTTCTTTGAACTATGGTTTTCATCGTCTTGTATCTAAAAAATAATTGGTGTATTTTTTCTCAAAATAAAAAAAAATAAAATTACTTTTGCCGTTGGAGTTTCTTATGCTGTAGCCGCTTGAATTAAGAATAATTCTCTGACAAACTACTGAGAAAATAGTTACAAAAGTATTCAAATAATAACTAACTTATCAAAAGATGAACTTACTTATTTTATACCACGTGGTCTCTCTAAAGGTGTAGTATGAAGAACTTCATCGAGCAGTTGTAGAGCTCGGTGCAGATGGATTTCAACCCAACAAGGGGTTTCTTTGATCGATTGTCGGGGATAGTCAGGACCCCAGCCTTTAACAAAACTCAAACGAAGAATACAGAGTCTTCGCAAATCGTCCACTCCTATCCCCGCCACCGCCGATAAACCTAACAGACAATAATAAATGTAGTGCACAATTTTTTTTTTCAACAAAATTATTACTTATAGCTGGCGCTATCCCACCCATTGAATGTGGGCCTGGAATGTGCCCTGCCACTGCCGCCGCTTGTGCCACTGCTGCTGCTTGCGCTGTGGCCGCTTGAGTGGTTATCTGCTTGTGGCATTGGCGCAGATCAAAAACCTGCAAACCTAATTAAACCCTTGTTTTTCAAACTTTAAAAAATACCTTAATGTTTGTTCCAGGATAGAATTTGTGAATCGCATCACCAGGCTTTCGTCCAGCCTTAATATCCAAATAATAACTCTGAACAAAAACTGAATGGTCGCTTAAACAACGCAACCAAACATCTCCTTCACCCCTTAAATCCAATTGTACCCCTTTGCCAATATGTAGTCTTGCTTTCTCACTTTGTTCAGTGCGGTGCACATTACTCAATGCACCGAGGCAAAATCTGTTGCCACCGGAGGGGTCCACGTAGCCGTCAATTGTCACATTTGGGCAACTTGAAAGTACTTTAAATGTTTCACCGACTTGAATATCTAGCTCGAAGTAGGCCACGGAACACCAGTATTCGGGAGCCGGTTGAGACGACAACAAACTGTTGTTTACTTCGTTACATTGGTTTGTGTTCCAGTAGGCTGTGTAGGTTAACGTGTTAGCACCAGTAAAAGACTGACCCTCAGTAGCCGTAGCAGCCAATTGACGGTTATTTCCACCTAAAATTTTACAAAATTCAACACGTAATTAACGAATCTATGAAATAAGCCCACGCGAAAAATGCGCACAAGAAAAAAGCCCACACGGAAAAAGCTCACACTGAAAAACACTCACACGGAAATAAGCCCACCCCACTTAGAAAAAAACGCACAATGAAAAAAGCCCACCCAGAAAAAAACTGATATGAATAAAAGCCTAATCGTCAAAAAGCCCACGGGAAAAAAGCTCACAGGGAAAAAACTATCTCTGCTGTCGTGGATGAATTTCTAATCCGATCAGGCCAATAAAAATGTTTTAGAATAAAGTTTTGCTGTAATCCTATTCAAGAGAAGTGTAAAATCAAGAGTGAAGAGCTTATTCCACATCTGGTGGCGAAATGACAGTGACAGAGAAGAAACTTGGAATGCGCACACTTCGTTAAGATAATGAAACTTATGGGCGTGCATTTTTTTCTCTAAAATTTTCTTACTTGTCATTTTGCAAGAGTTTACAATCGGGTGATCGCAAATAAAGACCAATATTTAAGTAGGGAAAATCATTTAGATGTAATCGTTAATGAACTTATCATAACCCACGATAGCAGCGATGAAATCGAATTTTGCTCTAGTATTTTTGAGAGCAAGGATTATTAGAAATATCATTGTTAAAAATTATTTTCATGCTTTAACAACTTAATAATTTGTTTATCATTCTTCATCTTATATGAGTACCTACTTACTATATTTTTTTAAATAATAATAATAACAACTGACTTTTATTGTTACATAAAAGTACAATAGGGCGAGATTCAGGTGGATCCTCTGCTCTACCACCTAACAGTGGTATTGAAATACATTTTATAACGACGCCTGTGGACAATATTTTTTTTAATAGTAAACATACTTTTAGTGTCAAAATTCACTCATGTTTGACAATGTCAGTTCGCCACCAGATTTGGAACAAGCTCTGCCTCTTAATTCTTTTGAGGTTGTGACTCAATGTGATTAGTTTTCTTAACAAAGTAACGCGCACAACTCCCAAATTTAACATTTTTTGTACTGTCACTACTAAAAACATCGTATTCAGGTAACTAACTTGATAATAGCTAAAAAAAGTTTGGTGAAACTAGTGAAACAATTTTTTACTTAATAAATAACGAAAAAATATTGTTCATATAACTATGTCTGACGATTTATTTATCGTTGGTGAAACTGACAATAAGTATTGTATAAAACTTTGTGTGCCCCCAAGCCGCTGTCCCCAGTTTTATAATGTTAAATAGCACACTATCTACTTTTTTTTTTAAATTTGATTACCCAAATATCTCAGAAACTATAGAATATATCTACCAAAAATAAAAATCGATTTAAAATCGTTGACAGACTAAACTTCTGTATTTTTTTTTAATTCTTATCGCTTGTCACCTCCGAGTCGCCACCCCGATCTGTTAAAGATTTAGAAAATTTTTGATATGGTGCAAATTTTTTTTGGCAATGTCAATTCAATTTTATTTGTTAATTTGTTTATTTAATAAAATTATCAGTACGCTATTGAAACTTCTCGCAGCAAGGCGAGTTGTGAATTTGAAAAATATGACGAAAAATAAAACTACTATCATGCAAATTGAAAGGAAATGTTATCTTTAAAGTAGAGGAGCACAAAAAAAGAGAAACTAGAGAGAAAACGTAATACCTATTTACATCAACCACCGCTTATAGTGAGCTTCTTTCTCTGTGGGTTTTTAGTATGTGGGTTTTTTGGAAAGTGAGTATTTTTCTGTGTGAGTTTTTATCCATGTGGGATTTTTTTCACTGTGCGTTTCTTTCCTTGTGAGCTTTTTTCCGTGTGAGTTTTATTGACGTAGGCTTTTTTCTTTGTAATCCTTATTTCATGTGAGATTTTTTCTGTGTGGGTTTTTCCTTGTAGGCATTTATGTTTGTGGGTTTTTTTTGTGAGCTTTTTTGTGTGCGCATCACCGTAATTAACTACAAAACTTTAAATTGAAGAAATAAAAAAGAGACTAACGATAAGGCATTTGCATGTGGGGTAACCAATTAGAGCTGGAACATGCTCCAACTCCTCCTTCAACTTTAGGAGTGAGATGTGTCATAACTGATCTGTTTCCCTGATCACCTACCACAAAAACAAAGATTAGAAAAATGGAGTATTTTCAATCATAAAATACAGATACACTGTTAGCTATCAACACAAACTTACTTATGGAAAGTGCTTGTAGTCCACTTAGGGTAATATTTTGTTGTGGAGGTTGCTGTTGTACAGTTTTATATTTTTCGCCATCTGTATCCATTCTGCTACCAGCGGCTGGTACAGCGTTGTATTCATTTAATTGTGTCGATTGTACTGTAAGTCCAGAAAGGTCAATTCCAGGAGGTACCACCCGTTCATAATGATAAGGATTCACACACACCGAGTCACACTTTAAGTCAAATGCAAATTGACAATGTTTTACGTGTTTGAGTTCGTTTTTTTGGAGAGCGGACCATCGCCAAATTCGGGCATATATCACGTGAGGAAAGCCTTTGCGTCCAGAAATCTAAATAAATTCAAATAATAATGTTTAACTTAGTAACATTCAAATGATTTACCTGCAGGCGGCCATCTAAAGTCCTCTGAATTGTGACACACTTACTTGGATGTGCCCCACTGGTGGTTATTGCTGTGATGAGCGAGTCCAATTCATCCCTTTTTTCTTTTAATTTTTTGACAAGTGATTCAATAGCACGTTTTGCGAAGCTTTCATCTTCTCCTCCTTGTCGATGGCACATCAAACTGTGTACTATACTTAGACAAGCGTCAGTCGATGAGAGTGCTGTTGTAGTAGAAAACCCGGACATGTCTGACACTGCAACAATGATCTTAATAACAAGAAAACAATTATAACTTCTCAGTTTTTTCACATTTTTTTCAATGCAAATGTTTCAGTTGAGCGTATTGTCTTAAACTGCAATAGACTTTTGATTTTATTAGAATTATTATAATTTAAAATTATAATTTTTTACAGAGTGCGCCATAACTCGCATCCAGGTACGAACGATACTATAAAAAATATTAAAGAATTCTATCTATAAAAATTTTAGAAAAACAATTTAATAATCTCTTAAATGCAAAAACAATGATTAGGGTGTTCCATTTAACTTTTTTAAGTTATTGAACATTTAACAAACGCCTTCATTTTTTTATCTTTGCAAACGCAACAGACTAAAAAAATGTTATAAGCTTACAGCTTGTACCTTCTTTTTTAAAGTAGTAAAAAACAAATATTTCTAGATGTCTTAGATGTGTAATAAATTTTTGAAAAGTGCATGTTATCATCAAAAAAACCCGTCACTAATGAACTTTTTCAACATACTGAAACACCCTGTATAAAATGAAAATTTAAAATTCAAAAATCACAATGATTCTCAATTTGGAACTCAAAATGTCTAAATATCGTCCTTGATTCTCCAAAATCTGCTATGTGGTTCTTAACGTCATTTTGTAATTTTGTACACGTTCTGAGAAATTTATTATTTTAATAACCAACACACACAACTGTTTGTTTTTACTATGTAACAAATTACAATTTTTGTCTCAAAATTTCTTGTTTATAACTTATAAATTTGAATTTTTAAACTGGAATTTTATAAAGAAATTCCGAGTTTAAAAGTTTAATTATTTTAACTATTATTATTTTATAGAAGTACAAAATATTATATTTCAAAGTAATACAAGTTATAGAAAACAGTTTATATATACAAGCTGAGTCATTTATAATAAAGACCCTGACCGATTTTTAGAAGTAACCCAAAATACATTTTCAAAGACAACTTGCCTTTTGTTACATTCGAAAAATTTAGATTATTAAACTTAAATCAAAGTAATGGTTAATATGTGATTAATTACATTTGACCGTGTCATCAATTCCACTTTTACTTCCCTTAAATTTAAAATGTACTCAAACAACAAAAAAACGGACATGATTTTGATAAGAGAGAATCCCACAAAAATGGAGTGGCTGAATCTGTGCCGTCAAAAGTACACCGTAGGACTTCGATTTATAAAAATTGTCAAAGCTATCAATGTACCTATGTTTATATCATTGAAAAATATCAAACAGAACATCAAATAATGAATAGAGGTATCTGAGAATGTATTTTGGGTTCCGTTTGAATATCGGTTAGGGTCTTTATTATTATATGACTCACCCTGTATGACGTATGCAATATTCAGAATGATTGAAAAATGTCGGACCAACTCTCAAATGGTGATAGGAGACTCTCAGCTAAGCATAATGAAAATGAATTCAAATTTTTGTTTCAAGTCTTTTTTGAGAAAAACAAAACTGCCAATTTCTACCATATGACATAAATTGGTGATTGGTTTCAACAGTTATCTTGTGTTGCAACATCGGCCGTGTCCGCTAACCAAATTCAAGATTGCATAATCTAAACCAAAAACTTAACCCAAAATCTAATTTTTGAAAAGCTGTACCTCGTGAAAAAAGACTGAAACAATTTTTGTCATGGGAACTTTTAACTCAGTTGACAAAGTTAACATTGTTATAGTATATTAAGCATCAAGAACGATAAGTCCTTAACGTTCGTTCGTGATGCTTATGACATTTTTTGCACGAATGATTTTTGTTAGTTTTTTTAAACTAAAAAAAATGTTCTCGAACATTATTGAATGCTTACCGACTTAGCAACAATAAACAAAATACTTACCGACGAGTTTGGAATAGCAACGAGTAAATACAACTTACTGTCTTGGAAACAGAGTGGTAAACAATCAAATAGAGCTCACTCGCGCAAAAAATAAGATTAGTCTTATTCTCACCTGAGAATGACCACTTTGTGGTTGAAACGCGTGGTGTTAGAAAGAGTTAGGAGGATCCAATAAGAAGTCGCTTTAATTAGTTAAACATAATAAACTTATTTTTATTTTAGACAAACTTCTGTCAGTAAAAGTGATTACTCCAGTTTTAAGCAGCCCGTCTATTTGGATATCGCGCATCTGCATTTTTCAACCTTGTTGGTCTTTTCGTCAACATTTTAGTAATTCTCACCAAATTTTCCAAGGTTTGACTTTTAATAAATTCAAATTGAAGTGCTCTTTAATCATTATGTTTAATTTTATTATTAAAACCAAATATTTTAATATCCACGTTTTCTAAAATGTAATGTTGGTTGCTTAAAAAAAAATCAGGTTCATTATTACTCGTATTGCATGTGACTGTACTTAATTTATTTATTATTTTATGTCATAAATATTATTGTAGATACACATAAATAGTACAAATTCACATAAAGTACTTCTAAAGCAGTCCTAGGTATGTACTTATAAACATACAGAGAAATTGCTCTGATCTATTCTAAGTTCTAAGCAATTTTAAAAAATAACCTCCATTTATTTATTTATTTTCATTTACCATAAAAAGGGTATTCTGAGTTGTGAGACAACATGTGTGTAGGTACTTGTTTTGAACTTGTGTTGAAAATTTTAGATAAAAGGTTCATTATTCCGCGAAAAACAACAATCACACCGACGATTGTATTAGTCTTGTGGGAAATACGTTTAAAGGAAATGGTAGTGATTGCAGAATATAAAATATAAACCATTTAAAGATATTTAAATGAAAAAACGGATTACTTACCTACTTGAAAAATGCTTGTATTTAACTCCAAGCGAAACGACAGACACAAAATCACAAAGCTTCATCCAATCTGATTTCGATTACCGTTGGTGGTTGGTGGCGTTGCGATCGGTCAATCAGCTGGAAGACTCATACCAAGAATTATAAAAAAAATTGTAAGAAGGTTGCCTCGTAATTTGCACCAATCACGTGTCCGCATTATTTGCGCGAATTGACGTCACTGGAGTGATCGTTGAAATATAGTATACAGGGTGTCAATTTTAAAACTTGCAATTGCCAATATCTCTAGAACTCAGGGCCGTACCCAAGGGGGGG